TGGAGAATTTTAACACCAGAAAGGTTACCAACAATTCCGAGCTCCATATAATTAAGGCAATTAAACTCTCCAGGAACTCTTAATTGCTTTAGAGCTGGTAAGACTAACATATAAGACACCAATAATATTTGTAATACAAAGGTGCTTATTCGATTAAAATATATTGTAGAAAATCATACTCTTTATTGCTTTAGAGCTACTAAGACTAACCTGTATAGACACCGTAATATTGTTATACACAAGTGCTGACAAGGCTAAAATATGCTGAAGAAAGCTAGTAATAACATATAAGACATTAATATTTTTGATATAATGGTGCTTGCCAGACTTACTGATGATGCTAACACGTCAGACATTAAAGGTATTAATGCTCTGAAGCTGACCGTATATCAGATTGTTTAGCAGAGCGCTTCATGAATTTAACTGAAGTGCTGGTAACATCACTAATACTGTTATAACTTTCTCCTCGTCTAACAAAGTTAATATTGACTATAGTACATAATCCTCGAATTAACCCCGCATTCGTCTGATTGAATACGGTGTTAATTCGAGGGCGGCGTTTGTTAGTAATTTTTCTCCTTTCTGTGGTGTTTATTTGAGGGTAGCATTAAATACGGTATGGACTGTGTGATTTTGGTAACTCAAAATCATTGTTTCAACTAAAACAGAGCAGCTTTATGCGTAAGTTTAATGATTCTTGATGCGACATTAAAGATTTTTCTCACCTCTCCGTGTTTGCCCTCTTTGGCGATGTTGACCTCCACCATGGCCTCTCCTCCCCGGCTCGTGGGTGAGAACGAAATCGAGAATGCTGGTACACATAAGCTGAAAGAGTTTATAACTCCAAGTCAGCAAACCATCAGTGTATTAAAAGTGACCTCTCTCTGGATAGCCCAATTAAATCGAAATAGTAAAGAAAAAGAAAAGAAAAGAAAGCCCAGTGGACGAAAGGGCGCGCAGTTTATTTTCCCCTTTCACTAGCCTAAGGGGCCATTGTGGAGGAGAAAGAATTGGGACAATGAACTGATAGATTCGAAACTTAAAAATGACTACCAGATGTGAAATTCAAGGGTGGGGGTAGGAGGGCGACAACCACTTTTTGATTGGGATTTTTGTTTTATATGTTAAAATTGTAATAAGGATAACAAGTAAAGAACATTATAAAAATCAACGTTTTCCTAGAGCCTTAATATCTGCACACTTTGCATACTTACGTTCACAGAGTTCTGTAATCAATAAATATTAACACAGCGAATAATTTGAATTCTTCGGTCACTGGAAGAAGAGGAGTGAGATGTAAAAAGAACTAAAGCTCAGTTACGATCCTCTTTTTTTGAAATCTCTTGATCCAGCCATGAAAACTATGAACTATGCACTAATTAAGGCTGAACCAAAAATACGAGTGCTAGTGCTGTATAACTGAGTCCCTAATTTCACATGCATTAGTATTCTGGATCTCCCCTGCTTGTACTTTGTTGACGTTCATTAAAGTAACGTTAACAGGTCTTAACAGATATTTATATGTTGTTAAGGAGATGTCGGTTCAACATGCTGTCAGTCATGTCAATTTGATGCTTACAATTATCAAAATGACCTTGCATTGAAGCATTTTCTTTCCTATAAAGAAAAAGTATATTATTAGTTATTCAACTCAGAATGGAATTAAGCCTTAGTGGCATTACCAGGAATGAAACTCACCTGACTACAGTGTAGCTTGAATAAAATTGTCAGGCGGGCTAATTGTAGTCCTGAGTAGGGGTATCGATGACAAGGACTGACATTTCGACAACCTAAACTCATCATCAGAGTCAGGAAGTCAGGGTGTGCATGGTCAGCCATCGACGATATTAAAGTACTGTTTAAAAAACGAGTAGAGGTGTATTATCAGGTTTAAAAACTCTCGCCTTCGCCTCGGGTTTTTAAACCTGACGATAGACATGCAGCTGAATACACGACTGCGAGTTTTTTGAACGGCTTCAAAATCTCTGATATAGATCAACTCATTGTCAGTTGCACAAATATTTAGATTTGGGGTTAGTTTGGTCCAAAAAATTGGACGTAAAGTTTAGCCGTGTCTTTATCAGATATAAAAACACTCATCAAACATTAATTTCTTCTGTTTTTTCATTGCGAATGATTAATGAGTTTTTGAACGTAAGTTCTTGTGAAGTGCCGTTAGCTTCACTCCCAGGAATCTGCGTATTTGAATGCCGTTAAGAGAAGAAGGGGAAAGAGGTTCAGAATATATGGTTATTAAAAATCAGCCTTTCAAAGAAGTTCAGGCTATTTGATCTCTGATCGTTCGTGTCTTTATAGAGGCTTCCACGTATTGCTGGGTTTACACTGGATTCATGCTTCACTGGTAAAAAAAAAAGCGTATTCCTTGGAAAAATAATTAGTCAGCGAAAAGATATGTAGATAAATGTTGCAGAAGTGTCAAGGCCAAGTGGTTACATGCACTGACAAGCCAAGAGTGAAAATGGAAATTAGTTTTGGAAGACAAAAGAACAAAAAACATCTGTGGTTATTATAAGTGCAAGGTTTTATTATACAAGCTGGTCAGTTAGTCTTCCGGTACATTTGAAATGAATAAAGTTTTCCCAAAAACAAGCAATAATAATTAGAGGGCTGCATAAAAAGAGTAATAAAAGAAGCTCATGACATTTTAAACGTCCAGTTTATATATGTTTAATCTTAATATGGGAAGATAAATATCAATATGGGTATCTAAGGTACATCTCGCAGGTGGTTTTCGTTCTTACCGCTCTTCATACACTTCAACCATCAACAGACATAAATTAGGTCGCTTGTTTATAGAACAATTATAACCTTATCTTTATCAACACGGTGTTTTCAGCCCAAAGCATAAAACTATGAGCAAGCTGGTCACTTGAAGTTGTATACGGATGGTGCATGGACTTTGAAATGTGTCAGGGCGCTGAATATACCTTAACCCGTGCGAAAAGACGCTTGCGAGTTCATACGAACATCGATTTTTTTTTAGTTATTTTGGTAGTTTATTACTTCAGTCAGCAATTTTTCCATTTCCCTACGTATTTCCGATAAGACTTCGTACAACTCGATCGAAGATGATCAACTGACCCAGAAGGGCGGCCAAAGCAGGCAAATTTGGCAAATTAGAACCAGAGAAGGCGCAGAAAAAAATTAGGCTCTTTAAACCGGAATCAATCTTGAAGTACGGTTTTCGCTCGTAAGATGAACATTTATGATGTGCACTCTGAGTTTTGTTTCCAGAACTTTCGAGTTGCAAGTCAACTTTATCCACGTCATTGAAAAAGGCTCAAGAGTACAAGAGGGGGGAAGTCTCTTGTAGAAATTTAGGAGGGCTTTCGGTATTCAAATCGCATCTCACAAAACGTACGTGAAAATTAAACTTACAGCTTCAATACAAAGATGATCACTGTTTCTGTGGAAAAATTAACTGTATGTGCCTTTCGTCTTCAATGTACGTCGACTCTTTGCAAAGATCTGCTTTCAGCAAATCAATATCTGCCGCGGTAAAGGTGTGCTTCTGGCTAAGGAAATATCCCAAAGGGTTATTGCAGTTCGGGCTTTGTAAACCTGCAAAGCAGCTTAAATGCAATTACGTAAGTCACCTGAACGGGAAGGATACCTCTGATTGGTCGCCTTTGATATGCAATATCAGCGTGGCTCGTGATTGGCTGGATTAACTAGCACCAGGTGCATTGGCGAATACTGTATTTGCTTAAAATTTTATTCAAACTTTTGAGAACAAATTTGAATACAGAGATGCACCGTTTCCGGAAAAAAAAAGGTTGTCAGGGGTGGTTGTGCTTGAAATTTATACTACTTGACTTATCTCAAAGATGAACTGGTAATGTGGCGGCGAAATGAATCGATCATCATGTAACTGTTGCACCACCGAGAGAACAAAATACGTCCTTAACTTAGTCATTAAATAAAAATAGGTGAATAAATAAATAAATAGATAAATATAGAACTATAGATATAAATGAATAAATAATAATGTAATGGTTGCGAGTCCACAAAATGGTTCTTCCTCTTCCACTTCCGTCAGAATTCCGGGTTGAACTGCAATTTGGAAATGTTGGTTGAGGAAAGGGAAAACAGGAGCAGCCAAAGAAAACTCTCTTAGAGCAAGGGACTCGGAAAACCAACAATTTCGGTTTATCCACGTAGGCACAACACATCTTGCGAATGATATTGACATGAAATTGTCGATCATCATATGTTAATTAGGGCGCTCTAACAAGAAAGCTCATAATGTTTTTCCAGTCCGCTCTAAATAAACAAAAAGAGGATCTGAATGAATGTTTCGGAGTCAATTTTAAATAGTAAAAGTTTGAGTAAGGCTTTTCTTTACAGCCTGGGTTGTGGGGGTAATAATGAAAAACAAAGGATGTGAAAAAGGACACAATTCTCTCGCGTTGACAGTCGAACTGAGAACATCTTATTCACTTGTGTTACTAACAAATTTAGGATAGCCACGATTCTTTTGGCGGAGTCTGAAGGGAAAGTTATGGGAGGAAGCTAAACTGAACAAAAGTGGTAAACAAGATAACTATAGAAAGGACTGCTAGAAACCGTTAAGACTTTATCCAGAATGAACATGCAAACAAGAATGAAGGACATGCAGTATAGAAGACAAGATACAAAAATAACCGGGAACAGTCGTGTACTTAAAAATATTTTTATGAAATCGTAGGAAACCAAAAACAGGCATTCCAACATTACATTAAACATTTCGAGCAGTCCACAAGTGCAGTGGCATATTCCTCAAGCAGTGACCTCATGACAAGTGTTTCAGTCACAGCCATCATTTTACCATGCTACACTAGGAAACTGCTGGATATTGCAATATGTACTGTTCCAACATATGAATCGATATTAGAGAGATTTAAAGTGACGTTTACGGTAAACGGGAAATGTCAGATTCAAGTTAAGAATTTCTCAAACTAGAAAGCGTGCAGCTAAAAACAGTCCAAACAATAGTTATCGACAAAAATAACGTGAAACTATTAATTTTGGGGTAAAAGTAATGAATAGTAAAGCACAAGTTACCGTAAGGGGAATCTTGGTCACGTGGTACAAATTCACGTTTGCCGTTTGCCATGAACGTAACTCTAAGTCTCTCTTCTACTGCGGGCAAATCGCCGTTGGGCGAATCGGCTGGTTACACATACGTATACAGGAGTTACTTTCTCAAGAAACTGTGGTGTTGCATCGATGGGGCAGTGAAAGAAAAAAAATGGTTTTATCAACTGAGTTGATCAAGTCAAATTACAACCCTAAAGAGATTAAAAAACTGAGGTTTTGATTACCCGTCTTGCCAAGGCTGTCATCGGCTTTTTTCAGTTGGCAATGTATGGCATTTAGTGTAAACAATGGAAATAGGGTTTAACTAAGAAAGAATTGAATTACAATACTTTCGTTAAATTCTTCTCTTAAAATCATTACGAGTTTGCTTTTGCTCTATCCAGGTCCTTGACACAACTCAAGAGTTCTTCAACTGAAGGTTTGTCAGTTGGAATTTTACTGCGATGAATTAATGCCAATCTTCCCTGCTCATCTAAAATAAAATCTCCTCCAATCTGATTAGGATCATCCTCCTCAAACATCCTCCTCCCAGCTCGTTTCTGCTCCGCATAGAAAACAAGTTTAGATATACTCCAAGCGTTTGTCAATGATCGCCTTAGACCAAGGGCGCTGTAAAGATGTCGTTCTGGATCAACAAACATTCTCAGATTGCAGTTTGTGTCCTTCAGCCACCTCCTAGCTCCAGCCTGAAAATAAAATAAAATGATAGCGGAGCTCTCGCGAGCAGAGCGCGCGCAGCGGAGCACCATGGGTAAGAAAATTTGGTAATCTTTGCATACGAGAAATTTTGGTTCTGAGAAAATCGTCCGTATGGAGTACGTCCGTACGTGCGTCTACCTCTTCATGTAAGCCGGGGTGAAATTTAAGCGGGTTTAAGCGGTACATCGCATAGCCACCAGGACTTTTAGAGATAAAAAACAACAACAACAAAGCCGATTCTTTCTTTCGACTTAATGTTAATGTCTACATTGGCCTGGATAACAGAGAAAGAGCAACCAATTTCGTTTGAAGAATAACATGAAAATTTTATACTGGGGGGTGAGAAAATGAGAAATGCTAGCGGCCACCAAGGGAAAAATGAGCGGCATTAAAAAGAAAGTGAACAGGACCACACACAACTTTTCCTCCATAACTCGGACGTTTCTAAAAGTTTCACGTTGTCGTTGTGCAAACCAACGGCAAAGAAATGTACAAAAAAAGTGTGCTGCACGTGCTGATGTTTTTTGCTAATTAGACCTACTGCTTTTTTGTCTGTTTTTGTTGCCGTCGCCGCTTAGCATTACACGATTTTATATTTTGTTTCAGTAAACTAAAGATATTAACGAGAGCTTCGCTTTTAGCCCTGGCTAAATCTATACATTACTGTTCAACAGGGGCGGATCCAGGATTTTTTGTACGAGGGGTACACCACTAAAGAATGGCGTAACTGACTGGTGACTTAAACAAATTCTAATACGGAATATCAGTTGTATTAGAAAGCCGAAGGTCATTTCCGGGGGGGGAGCACACCCCCTGCACCCTCCACCTAGATCCGCCCCTGTTCAACCTACTGTCTATGGACACCCTCAGGACAATATACCTGCTTAGTTAGTCAGCAAAGCAGGCTAATTTGATGCTTACCACATTTCCGAAGCTGATGACAACAACTTGTCCATTATGGGCCTCAAATTCTGCCTTGCATGCTTCCACTTGGGCCACATGCTCACGTCATGGCAGTCATGCAAAATGACGCAGAATTACCAAGACAGTGGATGCTGAGGTTAGCAAGTCTTGAATGGAGAATTGCCTTGAAGAGAAAATCACTTTATTATTCGTTTCTAATTTTTCATAACCACCTAGCACCAACCAAATTTGGAAGATTTTCCATATTAGCAATTGATGACTGATGTCAATCATCAAATTTATGATAAAAAAAATTATTGCATGATTGACATCACAGAAAGCTCAAGAAAACTGTGAAAGGTTTTTAACCCAATTTACTGGAATAAGCCTGCCCCTGATTAAGCACTGCCCTCAAATTAATAATGGCCACATTTGGGACAAAAGAGTTAAGAAGCACTGTAGCCTCGATGCAGCACTTATTGGAGAAATTCAAACTGAAAAACCACTGTGATTAACTAAGTCTAACACAGCATTAGAAAATAATATATTCTGATTGAAAGTGATGTTCTTCAGTTCAAAGTGATTAAATTTTAACACCACTCGCCCAAAAAGTTCTTGCAAAATTCTTGCAACAAAAAGCTGCTTCTGGGAATCGCTGGAGCTCCCCCGAGAAGAGATTTTAGGGACTTTAAGCAAATCGATACAGCGATCTCTACTACGGCATTCGTACGAGTGGATGTGTAGCCCTGGGGAGAGTACATCAGTCTGTAGCCTGCCAAATTTCAACTTAAAGAAAGTGGCGCCAAAAACAGAGACTGCGGGGTTTCTCGACCATTTGCTTTCACTGTTAGTAAAACACAGGGAAGCCGAAGACATAATTCATGATAATTACTGGAAAACCAGAAGCGTCAAATGCTTTCTTGATAAGTGAAAAACAATCTATGAAACGTTTTGAAACCGGTAATTGTAAAAAAAGGAGAAAAGGTGACTTTTATACTCATGCACTATATAGCGAGTACGCCACTTATTAAACAGATCTTCAAGATGTAGGATTTGGCGTTATGGTGAACAGTCATTTCTAAGCATGCGCAGTGTGTCATTTTTGGGCTCTTTTACTTCCAGCCACTGTAGTAGAGGTTGCCATAGCGATTTGCTTTAAGTTCCTATTTTGCAACAGATCTAAGATGCTTGGCAGGCCATCTTATATTACGCAATGGTGCGACTTCGCACAATTCACCTCAAACAGTTGCATCTGATCGCACAATTTGGGGAAAATCTCATAATTCATTAAAAAATGCTAAATTCAAGTAAAGCCAACAATAAATTCTAACTTTAATCAAATATTTTCCCAATCTTAATGTTACTTAAGGTGATTTAGCACTAAAGAAAGCCTTGCAAGGCATCTGAAACCTTCGATCGCAGTATCATATCTGAGGAGCCATTTTGATTTCAGAGACATGCAGTGTGGTCAGCAGTCCGGGGGGGGGGGTAATTTAGGAATTTCTGGGTGGGGATGTGCCGCTGGGACCCTGGAACCCTTAACCTATACCAGAGCTAGTTCAGCTGAATTTTGCTACCCTATACTAGAGTAAACTCCCCAAATCCCCCCTATCCTAGAGTAGCTGTTTCCCTTGTCTAGATGAAATCTTCAACCAACTGATCATTTTCCTGAAAAATGATACCCTATTCTAGACCCAAACACTCTGATTTATATACCCTATCCTAGAGTAAACTGCCTGAAAACTATACCCTTCACAGCGGCACATACCTATATAGCCAATATATGGCAGTACCCCTCCCCCCCCGGGTCAGCAGTGTAACGGCATCATGTAATGTTAAACAAGTGTCCTTTTTCTTTCTTTTTATGTGTTTTCTTTTCCGGGTAAGGTAATTAGACAAATTTAACTGATTTGTTTTAAAATAGATGTTTTATTATTATTTTACATTCCAATTGCCTGTTAAACAACATTAAAGTGATTTTTCTCCTTTGAAACCTGGTAAAACAATGTTAATTAGCCCTGAAAAAATTGCATAATTTATTGCATATTAGTCCTATCTTATTGCACAATCCACCTTGAAAATCGCAGAATTTCTGATTTTTTATCGCACCCTATCAGATGGGCTGGCTTGGGCAAAGCTACCCACAGATGTCATTAACAATTCTTTAGAAATTCTTTGAACTTCAACGTTTACTACCAATGAATGATTAACTTTTAGGGTCTACATTTTGGAAATAGGATTGGCGATAAAACAGTTTCAACACTTTGCACAAGTTTGACCCCTCCTAGATCTGCCCCTACGGAAAGCCCACAGGCTTCATGCATGCCACCATATCTCCTACTACACTAACCTTTCTGTAGAAACATCAGTTAACTTAAGTTCACACGGTCCATATGAGCCAAGCTCTTTATCATTTACTGAACCACACAAACGATCAAACGTATGATCTACTTCTTTCAAGAAAGAGTCCCAGTCTTGCTCCGCTTGAAACAGCTCCTCTTCTGCATCTCGGATACTTTTGAAACAATACATTTTTTTAACTGCCCGGTCCATATCATTTCTTGTCATGACATTTAATGATTGGAATGTAGAGAAGTAGTGACCTATCATTGGGCCCAATTTGCGTACTTTGTCTTCCATGAAATCTTCAACAGAATTTCTTATGTGTTCTTTGGCTTCAAGCAAGTTGTTTGACAACACTTTCTGTAGTCTTTCCAGTTCATGCAGTAAGATTTCTTTGGGTGCCTGGTAGAAATGAGCGTGCATAAACATAAACTTGGTAAAACAAAATGCAAAAAAATCACGCACTCTCAATAACCACACGAGAAGAGGTTTGGGCCAACAACTTATTGAGTCAGAATCGACCGCTATACACTGACTAACGCGAAAGGTCGTGACTGAATCAATAGACTCCCTAGGGTGGGAGGGTTGGGTTAGCGTACTTGCCCAACGAAACGAGCTTTTGACTGACCGATCAGAGAACCTAGCGACCAGATAAGCTCGATGACGTAAAATGATCGATGCGTAGTTACCAAGAATCACTCAACGTAATTATTGCACAATCACGCACTCTCAATAAGGGAAATCCTCGGAGACCCAGGGGCAGATAGTGGGGGCGAGGGAAAGTCTAAACGGGCGGGAAAATATGGCACGAAGGAAAGTAAAGAACGACGAGAAGAGCCCCTGGGGACAATGGGCGCGATCCATTCAACCAAAATTCAGACCGTCCGACCGGGAAAAGAGGACCACCTCAAAAGGTGGACCTGTTTTTTCGAAACTTTTCCGGTTGGACCGAACCGATCCATTGAGTTTTGGACCGAAATTTCCGGAAATTTTGGTTGAATGGATCGCGCACAATGTCTTACCAGACCAGTTCCAAACCAGACCAGTTCCAAACGGTCGCCGCCGTTCTGCCTTCTGATTGGGCAGAAAAACACAAACGTTTTCTGGCACCAATCAGAAGGCAGAACGGCGGCGACCGTTTGGAACTGGTCTGGTAAGACATTGTCCTCAGGGGCTCTCCTCGCCGTTCTTTACTTTTCTTCGTGCCATATTTTTCCGCNTCTTCAATCAACAGACTCGCCAAACGAAAAAAAAAGGCCCAAACCGAAGTCGGGTGGTATAAGAGAAGAGACGTGAATGTGAGAAAAAAGAGATATTAATTATAGAGCGACACAGATAATATATTTGGGTATATAGATATAGCTATAAAAAAAAAGACATGCTAGTGAGAACTTCGAGATAAAAGAAGAATCTGGGCGGCCATGGAATTTACTGCTTGTCTCTTTTGAGCTGAGGACATTTCGAGATAAACTAGGTAGGCGTCACTTTGCCAATCACCTTGACACTGAATAAGTTCCGCCGGAACATTACACCGAAAGGCGAAACTCGCGCCGCCGCGACGAAAACTATGGGGAGAGTAATGGACCGGAACTAAGCCGATCGCTTGAATGACCCGCGAAACAAACTGGGAAAAATGGCGATACGTGATGGGCAATAAACTGCGAGACGTGGGAGAAAAAACCGAGAAAAGCGGCGCATGCGAGGGCCCTGGATTAAGGCGTAAATGACGCCTTAAAGCCTAGCCTGAAATTCATCCGATTGCTTCGAGTCGTTTTCTCCTTTACTGAGGGAGTAATAACGACTCGAAGTAATCGGATGAAATTCAGGCTACTTAAAGCCCTGACTGGACAAAGCTGGGAACCTGGGATGCACGGCAAGGGAATTGACAAAGAACGCTGTTGATACTGAATAGTCTTAGACGCTTTAATATGTACCGAGGCCCCCTGAGAGGAAAACTCTAAATCAGCCCGCAAAGGAACTTTAGTTGAGATGCGATCTGCTACGTCGGGGACTAAATTAGATTTCCGTAAAAAGGTAAAAAAGGCGACGAGAAACAAAGCCCACATGGCTGCATGTAAAGGTAGTACACCTGCAGCAAAAGTTCAGGAGTAATAGGATGTTTGCGCATCTCTTAAAACTAACTGAAAACGATAATGTGTGTCACAGACCTTTCCGAAACCTAACAGCTGATTTACATGTTTAAGACTGCCGATATGATTGATAATAGTGGCGTAGGTTCGACCAGAAAGGGTGAGATAAGCAACGTAACGAATAGGCAAATCGATCTGAACAGGGAACGGAGAGGCACGGACGAAATGACAAAACCTACTGTAAACGTTAACGTGAGACTTGATATTCTTACGAGTCGATGCGGCAAAAGCCAAATGAACTAAACGCTGAGCAAAGGCATCTAATGAAGAAACGTTGGTAGAGTTCCCTGAAAAAAGAAACGATAAATGTCTGAATAATTGAAATGAGGAAACAATTTTAAAAAACTATAACAAAAGCGGAAAAATGTCAAACAACGTCAAAATAACAGAAGTCTCCGGGTATCTCTTCGCAAACGTAACTGATCCCGAGAGCTGTGGTCGCCTGGGCGAACTGAGTGTGAGAGGAGGTGTTATCCCAACGACTCAAGGCATCGGCTAATGTGTTATGCTCGCCGGGAATATGCCGGACGCGGAGGGCAACATCATGAACCGCTGAAGTAACCACAACTGGCGCAAACAGCGCTGCATGAAAGGATCCTTGGTGGAGCCCGAATTGATCACCGTAACCGCCGCCTCGTTGTCGCAGGAGACGAGAAATCGCTGATGTTGCAATGCTGTGGCCCAGAACTTAACCGCGACAATAACAGTGAAGAGTTCCAGAGCAGAGATGTGAGACGTGGCGTGAGGACAAAATCCGGGAAAGGGAATGTAAGGTATTTGTCGAGGCACGTGGTTCCGCCGCGAGTCAGACAAGCATCCGTGGTGAAACGAAAATTAGCAAAGGACCAGTCGGCTGGCTTGAAGCTTGATAACCGAAACACCATTGTAAAGGGGAAGAAAAGTTTTCCACCAAGCCAAGTCGTGACGCATTTCCAACGTGACTAGTTGAGATTTAGCGTTGGAAGAGAAACTACGCAAAGCGTTCAAGAGGCGAGAAAGAAAAATCCGACTAGCGTGGACGCAAGCAGACACGAAAGAAAGTTTACCGAGCAAAGACTGCAGTTCTTTGACGGTAAAGCGCTCGCGTGACAACCACAAATGTAACTCATCGGATAATGCACGAAGCCGCGACTCTGGAACACGTAATGTAAAATCCTTGGAATTGACGAGGAAACCCAAGAAAACCATCACAAAGGCCGGCGGTGAATCTTTTTCAGGTGAAGAGGCTAAGCCTAGGGTATCGAAAATAAATAGCAGAGTAGCAAAGGCATTGTCAGCCAGCGACGGACGAGTTCAGCGCCGTAAAAATCATCTAGGTAAACACCCGGGGGGGCACTTGGGTATTTTTTGGGTGGGTATGTGCCGCCCTGGACTCCAAATTGACACCCCGTTCTAAAAAAAATTCCGCTAAAATTGATACCCCGTTCTAGAAATGGACGACCAATTTTTTATATCCCGTTATAGAATTCGCCCTAAAACTGATACCCCGTTCTAGAAATGGGCCAATTTTTTATACTCCATTCTGGGGTGCAACAAGAGTACAACAGTTTGTTTGTTAACGCACTGAACCGTATTTTTAAAAGCAATCTGTCCTTGAATAATTTCAAATGGCTGCTTACAAAACTGGAGCTTTCGTGCGTTCGAAGTATTATACCCCGTTCTAGGAAACGCCTCTGAAATGGATAACCCGTTCTAAATCAGGAGCTTCAAAATCACGACCCCGTTGGGCGTAGCCTGTTCCAGGCGTTCAGATAGTAGAGCGCGGGAGAAAAATTCACGAAGAAAAAAAAAAAGAAGGGAGACTAGCCCCCCCCCGTTTTCCCGGTGTACAACTTAACTCGCTCCCCCCTTACTGCCGCGCTCTACTATCTGAACGCCTGGAACAGGCTACGTCGGGCGGCACATACCCGTATAGGTAACGTATGGGAGTACCCCAAACCGGGGGTAAACATCGGCGGAAAAGCCGGCTTGCGTGAAAATATATATGACGGCTCTGATGACGGCTTAAGTTGTTCCTTGACAGATCATGGCCGAGGTTCGTAAACCAAAAGGACACCGCGAGTCAATTAATAATTAGTTCATGCGTCAGCGTGCGTATGTCGAGATATTGAGCACGCGGGATTTCTAAGCTCGCAACAACTCGAGGAGTTACGAATAGTTTATTGACGTCATCAGCGTGCTCAATAGGAATATGAAGCACGCGGCGAATTATCTAGCTATGTTATAAAATAAATATGATTGTCAAATGTGAAGCCCAACAGATAATGGTCTTTAGGGTCGATCAGAAACTGGCGATAAGCGCGTTGAAGGTCTTTTCTGTAAACGCAACAACCCTGGCCTTTAGCCAAAATGAGTTCGCACAAACGGTCGCTCGATGCCCGGTAGTCGGAGTTTGAATGGAGAATCCTGGTAGGAGTTCAATGGAATGCCACTATTGACAAAAAATGTTGGTGGAAAACTCAAGTCCAAGACCACTCGACGTTTGGAACCGTTTAAAGTGGAGAACAAACTAGCGAGAAAGGACCGGCGATCGCTGCGAAAGACAATTCGGTCTGAATGTAGTGCCGTACGTGATCAGGAAAAGCCAAGGCTACGGTCTCATTTTCATGGCCACTTTCTTTTCTCATTTAAGATACCACTTTGAGGAACTTAGAAAGAAAGTTGTAACTTTTTATCAAGATTTAGTATCATTAAAATGTTAATTACTTGTCTGCCCTTTGGAAAGCAGTTTTGTTCTTATTGCTTTGGCTGCTGTACAAGAAAATAAACCTTCGGATTTCAGAGGGAGGACATTTTCCTTAAAATAAAATGTATGGGCAATTTGCTAGGACAAATCACTGAAATCATGGGGCCATAATGATGAGGTGACTGTGTGCACGTGGTAAAGAACGAGGTATGCGAAAAACGAAGCGCCTGACGAGGAGGCTGCGAGGTACACATGTTTTGACTTTACGTGACTTTACCCTTGGTTTTGCAACTAAGTGACAAGTAGGAAAACTGAAGATCACTCCCCACCTTTTCAGCCTCTTTGCTGGTTTTAGCTGTACCTTGACCCTCTTCATCTCCTGCTAATTTTACTCGCTTTACATCTGGCTCCGCTACTTCTGACATGACTGAACTTCCATAGAAAACCCGAAAGACCAATATGTTTTGTTTGTTACTTCATGATACATCGATTTCTTGCTCGGATGGCTGAGAGCACCGTGGCAGAGAAAAACCGGGCACCAATATTGCGCCTATTGTGGTCAGCGATTTCTTCCAAAAAAAAAAAAAGAAAATGGCGGACACACTCTAGCATTTTTCGTCGATCTGTTCGTCCTTTCGTGAATTGCGCCCCGATGGAGTTTGTTTGCACATAAACACAACAACCGTCTTCTTTATGCTATGATGGGATTGATGTTTTCTGCACAGATGATTATGGTGTACGAGCATCTGAAAGGAGAGAGGGTCCTATGTGACTACACACTGTACTCTTTATAAAAATTAAAATGAAGCTTAACTTAAACCCACTGGTAATGCTCACTAGCTCTCAGCCGTGCGTAAAAGAATGTTCCCATACCATACCCATATAAAAGAGAAGGGGATGCTTTAGATAACAAAACAGGTTTAATACAGGTTTGTTTTGTTCATTACTGGCAAAACCCACTGAGCTTCAGCACCTACTACTGAGTGTAAGATTGTGAGCTATAGCAGGATTCATATGGTTCCTGGAAAATCCTGGATTGTCCTAAAACTGCTATTGTACCATTTTCCAGGACTGCAAATTCCTGGAAAGTGTATAAGCAGTAGCAAGTTTGTTTTTATGCAACTTAAATTGTGTTCTTGCGTTTCATCTTGTGAGTGAAAGATCTAAAGGTTGATAACATTTCAATAAAATTCACCAGAATATCTTCCTCACATAATCACAGGGTTCCCATTAGAGCACACGTGTGCGTATTTTACACACAAAAATAAAAAAGGATGCATGCTTCTTTGAGCCCAAGAGCCCCAAGGATTGACAAGGACTAGTTAATGTCCATACATCAGCCTTAGATTGCCATCAATTGGGAAATGAACATCTCACAGCTGTGCAGTTATCAATAAAGAAGATCTCACGAAAAGTTCATGTGACATGTGGAAGAAAAATTAAGTACGGCTTTGAAAGCTTAAGTAAGAATGGCTCTGTTTATAGTAAAGAAAGTAAAGATTATTGTAGATTGTTGGGACCCTTTAAAAGTAAAAAGGACCTTTAATTTCCTGGGACTGGAGGTCCTAAAGACCCCTAACTGTTAAAAAGAGTGTGAGCTCTGAATCAAGCTCCACATTCAACTGTAAATGTCTTCAGTGTGGCATGACTGGTGTTCATAAGACAGAAATGGTGCGAAGTCGAGCCTGTCTTTGCTCCCCGCCTTTTTTTATTTTTCTAGCGCTTACTTCATCGTATGTGAGTGAAAATACATTGGGAAGTCTCCGGAGTGGTCTTTTCCATTCCCGGACAAATTCTGGGGGCGACACAGATGGAATTCCATCACAAAAGTAGTATGCATGCCTTTGTAAGCATGTCCGCCATCTTGTATCCTCCTCTGGTGGCAAATGATATTTTGCTTCAAGAGTCAACTACTACTGAAATTCAGATTGCAGTTTTCACCTAATTCGTCTGATTGTTAGCAGCGATATCAGTGTAAATCCAGGGCCTGAAAATTGCGTTGTTTGCTTGCTTGAAACCATCGAGCATTAAGCTGTGACCAGTGTGACTCATGGTGCCACTTAAAGCATGGTGATGTTACTCCAAAGCAGTACAGAGAATTCCATCAGATGGATGGCTTTAGCTGGATCTGTCCACCCTGTTTATTATCAGTTTTTCCCTTCTCTAATACAACACTGAACTCGACAATTAACTCATCTGTTGATTCCAAGAGTAACAATGGAAGTCACGACGACCCACAAGGCATTTACACTCTACAAGATAATGAGCAACTGGAGAATAAAAGGAAAAACTGTGATGATATCTTACTATGTCATCTGAATATTAATAGCATTCAAAATAACCTCGAGGAACTTGTTGCAATGATCAGAAAACTAAAGGCTCAGATTATCTTTATCAGTGAAACAAAAACTGATTCCACATACCCTGATAATCAATTCACCATTCCTAGCTATACCTTATACCGCAATGACAGCAAGAAGGGTGGAGGTATTCCAACATTACATTAAAAATTTTGTGCAGTTCACAAGTGCAGCAGCATATTCTTCAAGCAGTGACCTCATGACAAGTGTTTCAGTCAAAGCCATCATTTTACCATGCTACACTAGGAAACTGGTGGATATTGCAATATGTACTGTTCCAACTTGTGAACCGATATTAGAGAGATTTAGAGTGACATTTACAGTAAACGGAAAATGTCAGATTCAAGTTAAGAATTTCTCAAACTAGAAAGCGTGAGAAAGGGAAAATTTGGTCACATGGTTCAAATTCATGCTTGCCATTTGCCATGAATGTGACTCTTAATCTCTCTTCCACTGCAGACAAATTGCCGTTGGGTGAATCGGCTGGTTTCACATACGTATACAGGAGTTACTTTCTCAAGAAACTGTGGTGTTGCATCGATAGGGCAGTGAAAGAAAAAAATGGTTTATCAACTGAGTTGATCAAGTCAAATTACAACCCTAAAGAGATTGAAAAACTGAGCTTTTGATTACCCATCTTGCCAAGGCTGTCATCGGCTTTTTTCAGTTGACAATGTATGGCATCTAGTGTAAACAATGGAAATAGGGTTCAACTATCATTAACATCATTACAAGTTTGCTTTTGCTCTATTCAGGTCCTTGACACAACTCAAGAGTTCTTCAACTGGAGGTCTGTCAGTTGAAATTTTACTGCGATGAATTAATGCCAATCTTCCCTGCTCATCTAAAATAAAATCTCCTCCCATCTGATTAGGATCATCCTCCTCAAACATGGCTGCAAGTTTTCTCCCAGCTCGTTTTTGCTCTGCATAGTAAACAAGGGCAGGTATACTCCAAGTTTTTGCCACTGATCGCCTTAGACCAAGGGCATTGTAGAGATGACGTTCTGGATCAACAAACATTCTCAGTTTGCAGTGTGTATCCTTCAGCCACCTCCTAGCTCCAGCCTGAAAATAAAATAAAATAATACTGGGGAAGATCCAGGATTTTTCTTTGTAGGGGTTGCACCTCTAAGGAATGGAGTAACTGACTGGTGACGTAAACAAATTCTAATACAGAATAACAGTTGTATTGGAAAGCCGCACGTCATCTCCGGTGGGTTGCACACCCCCTGCACCCTTCCCCTAGATCCGCCCCTGTTCAACCTGCTGTCTATGGACACCCTCATGATAATATACCTGTTTAGTCAGTCAGCAAAGCAGGCTAATTTGATGCTTACCACGTTTCCAAAGCTGATGACAACAACTTGTCCATTATGGGCCTCAAATTTTGCTTTGCATGCTTCCACTTGGGCCACATGGTCACGTCATGGCAGTCATGCAAAATGACGCAGAAGTACCAAGACAGTGGATGTTGAGGTTAGCAAGTCTTGAATGGAGAATTGCCTTGAAGAGAAAATCACTTTATTATTCGTTTCTAATTTTTCATAACCACCTAGTACCAACCAAATTTGGAGGATTTTCTACATTAGTATAAAGTTGATGACTGATGTCAATCATCAAATTAATGATAAAAAAATTATTGCATGATTGACATCACAGAAAGCTCAAGAAAACTGTGAAAGGTTTTTAACCCAATTGACTGGAATAAGCCTGCCCCTGATTAAGCACTGCCCTCAAATTAATAATGGCCAAATTTGGGACAAAAGAGTTAAGAAGCACTGTAGCCTCGATGCAGCACTTATGGGAGAAATTCAAACTAAAAAACCACCGTGATTAAGTAAGTCTACTACAGCATTAGAAAATAATATCTTCTGATGGAAAGTGATGTTCTTCAGTTCAAAGTAATCAAAATTTAACACCACTTGCCCAAAAAGTTCTTGCAAAATTCTTGCAAAAAAAACTGCTTCCGTGAATAAGAAAGCTCCCCCGAGAAGAGATTTTAGGGACTTTAAGCAAATCGCTACAGCGATCTCTACTACAGCAGTCGTGGATGCGTAGTCCTGAGGAGAGTATGTCAGTCTGTAGCCTGCCAAATTTCAACTTGAAGCAAGTGGCACCAAAAACGGGGACTACGGGGTTTCTCGCTCATTTGCTTTCATTGTTACTAAAACATAGGGAAGACATAATTACTGGAAAACCAGAAGCGTCAAATGCTTTCTTGATAAAGTGAAAAACAATCTGTGAAAAGTTTTGAAACTGATGATTGTAAAAAAAGAGGAAAGTTGACTTTTATACTCACGCATATATAGCTAGTATGCCACAATTAGACAGATCTTCACATTGTAGGATTTGGCGTTATGGTGAAGGGTCATTTCCATGTAGTAGAGGTTGCCATAGCAATTTGCCTTAAGTTCCTATTTTGCAACGAATCTAACATGCTTGGGCCAAGCTTCCTATAGATGTCATTAAGAACTCTTTAGAAATTCTTTAAACTTCAACGTTTACTACCAATGAATGATTAACATTTAGGGTCTGCATTGTGGAAATAAGATTGGCAATAAAACAGTTTCAACACTTTGCACAATTTTAGACCCCTCCTAGATCTGCCCCTAGGGAAAGTACACAGGCTTCATGCATGTCACCATATCTCCTACTACACTAACCTTTCTGTAGAAACATCAGTTAACTTAAGTTCGCATGGACCATATGAACCAATGACAAGCTCTTTATCATTCACTGAACCACACAAAGAATCAAACGTATGATCTACTTCTTTCAAGAAAGAGTCCCAATCTTGCTCTGCTTGAAACAGCTCCTCTTCTGCATCTCGGATACTTTTGAAACTATACATTTTTTTAACTGCCTGATCCATATCTTTTCTTGTCATGACATTCAATGACTGGAATGTAGAGAAGTAGTGACCTATCATTGGGCCCATTTTGCGTACTTTGTCTTCAATGAAATCTTCAACAGAATTTCTTACGTGTTCTTTAGCTTCAAACAAGATGTTTGACAACACTTTCTGAAGTCTTTCCAGTTCATGTAGTAAGATTTCTTTGGGTGCCTGTTGGATATGAGTGTGCATAAACATAAACTCGGTAAGACAAAATGCAAAAAATTGATTAACCCATTCACCCCTGAGCTGCCCGTAACCACCTGTGTGGATCCACGTCCTTTCTACCACTTGTGACATCATCAGTTTTAACTGTCAAGGGCAACTTTGTCCACTAACTTGTGCAGAGTAAAGAGATCTTTCAAACCATACTAGAATGAGCACAATTTAGTCAAGGACACCAGAGAAAAAGGAGAAAAACCATGTAACATTGACCTGAAAATCTCCAGGAAAATCTTGTTCCATTGCCCACCTACCTTTCCTTTCACCTAATCCTAAGATCCTAAAAGCTTTCTTAAAAACTTTTCCCACCAAAATGAAGCCTACTAAATGCCCAGCAAGAGAGAAAAAATGAGACAAGAAAAGTGAAAAAAGAGGGGAGGAGAGAAAGCAAAAAGCAAAATTTTGCTTTCTGTGCATGCCTGAACTTCGCAAGCTAACACTTTGCATCTGGATCAGAAGGAGGTAAAGTGTACGACCTGTAAACGGTTTTGTGGTAAGTTTTAGCTCTTTATAGCACGTCAGTGACCAGAAAACCACTACACAAACTTCAAAATGCCTTTTTCGGCAAAATCTTCAGGAGCGAATGGGTTCAGGGTAGGGTCTTATTTTCATGGCTACTTACTTTTCTCATTCAAGATACCACTTTGAGAAACTTAGAAAGAAAGTTGAAACTTTTCATGAAGGTTTAGTATCATTAATTTGTTACTTGTCTGCCCTTTGGAAAGCAGTTTTGTTCTTATTGCTTTGGATTTATAACAAAATAAACCTTTGGATTTCAGAGGGAGGACATTTTCCATGTGGGCAATTTGCTAGGACAAAATTTGATTTAATCATGGGGCCATAATGATGAGGCGACTGTGTGCATGTGGTGGGGTTTCAATGTACCTGATCCTATAGAGTGATGTGTCACACAACAGGACATTAGGGTATGCCTATGTTTCTTGACCTAAATGTTTGGTTCCAGAAAATATCCACAGTCCCACCAAGGAGGGAATTTCACATAGGACCCCACCCCCAACTCCTTGGATTTTCCACTTTTTAAGAAACCGAACCCCTAAGGAAAACTTCATTTCCACCAAGGAAGATTATCAAAGTAAAGAACGAGGCACACATGTTTTGACTGAACTCTTAGTTTTGCAACTAAATGACAAGTAGGAAAACTGAAGATGACTCCGCACCTTTTCAGCCTCTTTGCTGGTTTCGGCTGTACCTTGATCCCCTTCATCTCCTGCTAATTTTGCTCGCTTTACGCCTGGCTCCGCTATTTCTGACATCACTGAACTTCCATAGAAAACCGGAAAGACCAATATGTTTTGTAGTTACACGGTTTGTTCCTTCAAATACATCGAATTGAAAAGGTGGATATCTCAGTCAGAGCTTTGCTACACTGAGCGTATAGTGGCAGAGAGAAACTGGGCTCCAATATTTCGCCTATTGTGGTCAGCGATTTCTTCTAAAAAAATTATGGCGGACGCACTCTAGCAATTATTCGTGCATTAGTGAATTTCGACCCAAAATGGGAGAAAAAAAGAGTATCTGGTTACGATGGCGTTTGTTTGCACATAAACACAACAACCGTCTTCTTTATGCTATGATGGGATTGATGTTTTCTGCGCAGATGATTATGGTGTACAAGCATCTGAAAGGAGAGAGGGTCGTACGTGAGTACACTGTATAAGAATTAAAATTGAGCTTAACTTAAACTCTCGAGCATGATTAAAAGAGAACTCCCATATAAAAGAGAAGGGGATGCTTTATATTAAAAAACAGGTTTAATACAGATTTGTTTTATTCATTTGCTGGCAAAACCCACTGAGCTCCATCATCTACTACGGCGGGTAAGATTGTAAGTTATGGCAGGATACAAATGGTTCCTGGAAAATCCTAGAATGTCCTGAAGCTCCTATTGTACCATTTTCCAGGACTGTAAATTCCTGGAAAGTGTATAAGCAGTAGCAAATTTGTTCTCAAACCACTTGAATTGTGTTCTTGCATTCCATCTTGTAAGTGAAAGATCTTAACGTTGATAACATTTTGATAAAATTATTCACTAGAATGTCTTACTCACATAATCACAGGGTTCACACACAAAAATAAAAAAGGACGCATGGTTACTATTGATACATCAGCCATAGATCACCATCAATAATGGGAAATGAACATCTCACAGCTGCGCAAATCAATAAAGAAGATCTCACGAAAAGTTCATGTGACATGTGGAAGAAAAATAAAATAATACGGCTGTGAAAGCTTAAGTAAGAACGGCTCTGTTTATAGTAAAGGAAGTAAATTATTGTAGACTGCAAATTCCCCCCTCCCACTCTTGTAATCACATACATACAAAGAAGGCCTTGGGACCGACCCTCAACTTCCTTGGACTGGAGGTCCTTAAGACCCCTAACTGTTAAAATGAGTGGAGCTCTGAATCAAGCTCCACATTCAATCATAAATGTCTTCAGTGTGGCGTGAGTGGTGTTCATAAGACAGAAATATAATTAGGTATTTAAAATAAATAAAATGGAAAGAGTTGATAAAATTTCTGTTGCAGTTACCAAGGAGGAGTTATTTGAGAAAGGCCCAGTTGTTATAAAGATGGAAGAATATCTCAAAGCAGCTGCACGCTGGCCTGTAAGTTTTCTTATGGGGATGGAGGGGTGCTAGCTAGCAAAAGGTGGGGTAAGGAACAAAATAAGTTAGTAGCAGCTGCTATATACCTAGCAAGTGTCCTGGTCATCCCTTTCTGAATTTTCTGGATCCACCCCGTGAGGAACTTGCCTCATCTAGATTACGGTCCAACATTTAGAAGTAAATAAATAAATAACATTGGTTTATGAACAGGCACAAATTTACACAAAAGGTAAATTACATTGTACTTATGAATTTTAAAATTAGTTGAAAAATATATTAATAAAATGAAAATTATTGTCATATTGGGATTATAACATTTATAAGCCCTTTTAAAATCCGTCACAAAAATGTATCAATATTGGTTCTTCAAGGCTGTGCTCTAAGGAAAATTGAAGGGGCCCAGTGCTCTGAAACTGTAAAATCTAGGGTGCCTAGCATATGATTTGGATGAAAAATCTGAGATGTGCTAGTCACCCGAGGGTAAAGTTAAGTGCCAGGGCCCACCGGGCTCTACTAGAGTACAGCACTGGTTCTTAAGAGCCAGGTTATGGTATATTAAAGGCATTTTATTTTAATGAATATTGGCTTCTTTTAATCTGCAGATCTTAAAAACAAAGAGAAAAGATCCATTTAAGGAGGACGAAGACCAGTAGTCTCAATGGATGCTTAGCAGCTAAAAACAAAAATAGTAAAGCTGAGTTGTATAGAACATTAATTTTATGACATACAGTACTGAGGACATTTTTATAGCCATGGTGCTCATGACAGGAATTATTATATGGCATCGGAGAGTTGCCAACATCAGAAATAAGACAGTGAAACCCAGTAAATGAAAGACATTATGTTTACCTCGTGGCTACTGGGTAGACACCTTTATTGGTGATTGTTAAGAAAATTGACTTTATGAGCCATTGTATAAAGTCTGTTTCTTGTTATTATAGTCAGCAGTAGCTGGAGACTTGTTCAAGAAACCATACGGTCCTTGTATTGGAGCAGCTTTTTAAAAATTTACATCAGTGAACTGGATTTTATAAATTATGATTATCCAGTTTCTTCCATCAATAAAAACAAGTACACTGTATGTTGATGTCATACAAAATAAATAGCCTTGAAAGATTTGTGCAAAAAGTCATTGTGTAGTGACTTTGTGATATTTTTATCAGATTTTTATTTTTTTATGATTTTTTTTCTAATTCTATCTCTTCTCAGTAGCTGTATAATGATAACTAAATGAGTGAAAGCCAAAGCATACCTTTTTTGGATAAGAGAGAATTTGTTTTTCATTGAGCTGGGGAGGTGCAGTGGTGGGGGAGAGGACTTGCACTTTTGTTGCAAATATAATACCATCCAGTATCAGTTGGCCTGATTACTTTTACATGTTTTTACCTTGGAACACATTTGTGAAATTTTATTAGCTTAAGATAAAAATGCCTTCTCGGTTCAGTTATCTCGAACAATAACTAGTCCTACTTCAACATACAGTCCTGATCCATTTGATCCTGTAGTCCATTACAGGCGTGTAAATTTCATAGAGCCAATTAGAACTCTCGTCGCTATGGTAACATTTCTTCGGAAGCGAGCTCTGGAACTTCTTATCACACAGCGGGATAAACTAACTGTACATTCGAAGTTTCTTCTCTATTGCGGATAGGGGAACAAAACGTCGACGCCATAAACAATAAATTTACATGGGATATTAACATGGATGCAGAGGGATCTTATCGGCTTGAGCTTGAACCACAGAAACAGAACGTCTTCGTAACGCAGTTGCGGTAAAGTTGCTTTTGATTTCAGTTTGTGCATTATTTAACAGGCTGAATATACGAGAGTATTCTCTTCGATAATCTTGCGGTTTTTCGTCGACAGGGAGGACGAGGAAGATGAAAGCGAGGTTCGCAAATTTCCCATCGTTAAAGAGGTATGTAGTGCATGTAAGTTCTTTCCGCGGTTAATTCGTACACGTAGGTGTCCGTAACTCGCGTGTTTACCACTATTGTTAACTCTTGAATTTTTTGTCACGGCTTTTGGTAAATAATTTGTGGTAACTTCTGCCTAAATCTTGAGGATCTGTTATCTGAATGATATGTGTAGTTTAATCCAGGAGATTAATATACTGAAAAAGACTTGCACATGATGTAAGTCAGTTTAGAGTAACAAGCCGGAGACAGATAAAACATCTGTCAGGGGCAGGTTTAACTGTTTTTAAAATTTTGTGCGCAAATGAGTGGTTAATTTTGTTTCGAACTCTTTTTATGTCGTTTAGGGAAAAGACATTGTATGGATGTAAAAATAAAATCATTGCAAAATCAAGAGTTAGTGTTTTCATTAAATTAATAAAAATGCGACCTGTAGATCAGTAATTATTGTCATTAACTAACATAAAAATGTTTTGATCGTCAATAAGTAAAATAGTGGGAAGACATGTAAGATATTATTCAAGGAAAATGAAAAGAAATTACTTTCACTGTTTATTTAAGATATCTTTGCCCATAAACTGCCTCTCCAGAGTTATACAAAAATAATACAATAAATAAAAAAAGCCCTTCCTTCAAATGTATTGAAATAGACTTGACTTATTATGATGTTCTGAAGCTTAATTAAAAACTAGTAAATTCGAAAGGTATTTTTCTATAATTTCCGGTTATATAAGCCCCCTTGTGCCAAAAGTCTTCCTGCAGCACTGATCATATACATGTATCTATGTATTCACACCCCTCTTTTGATGTTAATTGTTTTGCAGTCTGCAAGCAAACTACTTGACACAGGACTCAATACTGTTCAGTCTACCCTGCTGCTCAAGAAACAAGTGGAAGTGGAAAAGGTGCAGGAAGACTTGGATATTAAAAGACGACAGTTTGCAGAGCGTATGACAGCTTGCAAAAGAAAGGAGGAGGAGCTTAAAAAGAAGCAAACCCAGGTTTGTATGGATAATTTTCAAAGAAAATTGTGTAGACTGGTTCTTTCCAAATTTCTATATAATTGCTGGTTTTCAGTGTCACGTCATTCAAAATAGATCAAAATAAAAATCAAAACTGTTCAATAGATAAAGTCCAGAATCTGGGAAATGAAACAAGGTAAATGTGCACAGACCATTGCCAATATTTAGGTCAGAGGAATCATTGTATACTGTACATAGAGCGGTTTTCGCTTGACTGTCGTAAAACCAAAACCAAAGTAAATACACTAGCCAACCAAAGGGCGTAGTAAAACCAAAACCAAAACCAAAACCAATCCCTTTCGACAGTCAAGTGAAAACCGCTCTATGAGATATCCAAAGAAATGTTTTACCAAAATTTATAGAGATTTGTATATGGAGATGCCATGGTGGTGCTTATCCGGATGGGCATCGACATTGTGGATGGAAACCCACAGAAACATTGAGTTTTACCGAGTTTTGCTTCAAAAGCGTGAATTCATTCCTCGAGGAACTCATAAACATTAAAGTGATACTTTATCTAATGCTTGGTGTTCATTAGGCATCGGAGATCAGAGAATTCTCCATTTACTACGCAGAATTCTCCAGCTAATGGTCAATAGCCTTAGGACTATTTTTTACTCAGACGTGTAACCTCTTAAAAAATAATGTTCTCCTGCAACGTTGAACCTCTCTGTTGCTACTAGAATTCTCAACCCGTTCGCTCCTAGAAATTTTCCCAAAAAACACGTTTTGNCGTAAAACCAAAACCAAAGTAAATACACTAGCCAACCAAAGGGCGTAGTAAAACCAAAACCAAAACCAAAACCAATCCCTTTCGACAGTCAAGTGAAAACCGCTCTATGAGATATCCAAAGAAATGTTTTACCAAAATTTATAGAGATTTGTATATGGAGATGCCATGGTGGTGCTTATCCGGATGGGCATCGACATTGTGGATGGAAACCCACAGAAACATTGAGTTTTACCGAGTTTTGCTTCAAAAGCGTGAATTCATTCCTCGAGGAACTCATAAACATTAAAGTGATACTTTATCTAATGCTTGGTGTTCATTAGGCATCGGAGATCAGAGAATTCTCCATTTACTACGCAGAATTCTCCAGCTAATGGTCAATAGCCTTAGGACTATTTTTTACTCAGACGTGTAACCTCTTAAAAAATAATGTTCTCCTGCAACGTTGAACCTCTCTGTTGCTACTAGAATTCTCAACCCGTTCGCTCCTAGAAATTTTCCCAAAAAACACGTTTTGAATCTACTGTAGTCGAGTGGTTCTCTGGTCACTGTCGTGCTATAAAGAACTAAAACGTACCACAAAGCCTTTTACAGCTCATACACTTCGCAGCATTCTGATCCAGATGCAAAATATAGGCTTGTGAAGTTAGTTTTTGGGTTTAAAACTTTTAAAAAAAATTGAACTTTTTTGAAGCGAAAATTTACATGAAAATTAGTTTTCAGCCACTCTAATACATCATTCAATGTAAAATCTCAGTAGGATCGACAGCTTTGTAGTTTGAATTTTAGTGGTCAACGTGATGTGAAAACCAACAATAGATTACAGGTTTATGCTTTTGCAGTACAGGTGGCCTATGACAAAGATTGTCCTTAATTGGGATCAAAATCATAAATGACATACTCTTTTGGTTTAAGTAACTGTAATATTTTGAACAGACGACTTAAAGGCCATAAACTCCAGCACTTTTTACAGTGTCAGAGTACGTGTAGCTCACTGCTACAGTCTCGAGCAAAACTTGACGGTCATTGTCGAGCTACATGACTCCAGATTTCTGGTGCTAGGAAAGTCTTGTATGAACATTGTATGTACACAACAATAAAATTTAATATGACACATGCAACTGAGTTCTCTCAGCAGGAGTAAAACCAGCTATGACTTTCTGCTTACCACTACAGATGTTCTACACCACTGAGTTTCAGGAGACTTGTGGGAGCTCTAACTGTCCTTACTGTCATTGTCAAATATTACTTTTCCGCCAAATATTATTTTTCCTAGAGTACAGCCTTGAATTACCCTATTATACTCTTTACGTATGTTCTGGCTTTTGGGTGGTGTGGTCAAACCTGTGATAATGGCAAGCTGTCCACTAGCCTAAGATTGCAGAGTATATCCAATTTACTGGTCAAGCACAGGTTGACTATATTAATACGAGTTTGACCACAACCAAAGAGTACTCATGAAAGGAAGTTGCTGAAAAAGAATGCTATGCATCACAAGTCAAATAAATATATTGTACATCTTCCTTCCTTGTGTGCGTTCAACCCCCCCCCCCCTTCAAAAAAAAAATTAATGACATCACATTTACCACCTTTTCATCAACAGATTCGTGAAAGAGTGAACAAGTTCGAAAAGTTCATCGAAGAAAATGATGCCAAAAGAAGAAGAGCCATCCAAAAGTACCAAACAGAATTAAAACTTAAAAACCAGAAAAATGGAGAACTGGATGTATTAACTATCGAGTTAGAACAGTTGAAAGCAAGGTGAGCCCTTGGTTTGGGGAAGAGGACGGGGAGTTAGGGGTTTAAACTTAGTGATAGAAATGCAAATTAATGAAAGAAACTGCTAGACCTTCTCAAAAAATCTTACAATGCTAAAGCTTGCCTTGGCCTTAAAAATGTGCCTTAGTGTGTGTAAAATATCTCCCTAAAAGTCACTAAAATTCTATACTAAGTAAGTCCAATCACTATACAATTGTAGGCTACAATATATGCATTATTCCTGCACAATTTTTTGTTTCAACGTTTTATTTTTATTTAAAACTCTTCGGCAGGTTAAATCAATAAGAACTCTTGAGTACTCAACATATTTTAATGTTATACTTTTCAAAAAAGTCAGCATAATTTCCAACAAGCCAAAAGTTGTCAAATAAATAGTTTCAAGTAAAGTACCCAAAATATCCTTTATTGCAATTACTGTTAGGATAATTATGATTGCATTTTCAGACTTCTAATAAATTCTCTAGGTGAGGTGATAAGCTAATGTTTTTTAGTGGTACTCAGCTTATTTACAGAGTGTACTTATTTTACTTAATATCTGAACCAAAAGCCCCTCTCAGTACCTTTGCTGAACACTTTAAGTGATATTAATAATAAATTTATTTATTATTTGTATCATTCAGGAATGAGGGTCTACAAGCAAAACTGGCCAAGTATTCTGTGTATGAAAAATTCCTGATGAAAGTTCTTGACCAGTTACCAGAAGGTACAATATTTCTGATTATTATGCATTGTACTCACTATCTAACTTCTCACTGACTAAGAACCTACTGAGTGGGGGAGAGGACTTGCACTTTTGTTGCAAATATAATACCATCCAGTATCAGTTGGCCTGATTACTTTTACATGTTTTTACCTTGGAACACATTTGTGAAATTTTATTAGCTTAAGATAAAAATGCCTTCACGGTTCAGTTATCTCGAACAATAAATAGTCCTACTTGAACATACAGTCCTGATCCATTTGATCCTGTAGTCCATTACAGGCGTGTAGATTTCATAGGGTCAATTAGAACTCTCGTCGCTATGGTAACATTTCTTCGGAAGCGAGAACTGGAACTTCTTATCACACAGCGGGATATTAAAACTAACTGTACATTCGAAGTTTCTTCTCTATTGCGGAGAGGGGAACAAAACGTCGACGCCGTAAGCAATAAATTTACATGGGATATTAACATGGATGCAGAGGGATCTTATCGGCTTGAGCTTGAACCACAGAAACAGAACGTCTTCGTAACGCAGTTACGGTAAAGTTGCTTTTGAATTCAGTTTGTTCATTATTTAACAGGCTAAATATACGAGAGTATTCTCTTCAATAATCTTGCGGTTTTTCGTCGACAGGGAAGACGAGGAAGATGAAAGCGAGGTTCGCAAATTTCCCATCGTTAAAGAGGTATGTAGTGCATGTCAGTTCTTTCCGCGGTTAATTCGTACACGTAGGTGTCCGTAACTCGCGTGTTTACCGCTATTGTTAACTCTTGAATTTTTTGTCACGGCTTTTGGTAAACAATTTGTGGTAACCTCTGCCTAAATCTAGAGGATCTGTTATCTGAATGATATGTGTAGTTTAATCCAGGAGATTAATATACTCAAAAAGACTTGCACATGATGTAAGTCAGTTTAGATTAACAAGCCGGAGACAGATGAAACATCTGTCAGGCAGATTTAACTGTTTTTAAAATTTTGTGCGCAAATGAGTGGTTAATTTTGCTTCGAACTCTTTTTATGTCGTTTAGGGAAAAGATATTATATGGATGTAAAAATAAAATCATTGCAAAATCAAGAGTTAGTGTTTTCATTAAATTAATAAAAATGCGACAGATACAATAATTATTGTCATTAACTAACATAAAAATGTTTTGATCATCAATAAGTAAAATAGTGGGAAGACATGTAAGATATTATTCAAGGAAAATGAAAAGAAATTACTTTCACTGTTTATTTAAGATATCTTTGCCTGTAAACTGCCTCTCCAGAATTATACAGCTGTAGGCCCACGTTCCTCAAATTGGTAAATAAAAAAGCCCCTCCTTCAAATGTACTGAAATAAACTTGACTTATTATGATGTTCTGAAGCTTAATTAAAAACTAGTAAATTCGAAAGGTATTTTTCTATTATTTCCGGTTATATAAGCCCCCTCGTGCCAAAAGTCTTGCTGCAGCACTGATCATATATCTATGTATTCACACCCCTCTTTTGATGTTAATTGTTTTGCAGTCTGCGAGCAAACTACTTGACACAGGACTCAATACTGTTCAGTCTACCCTGCTGCTCAAGAAACAAGTGGAAGTGGAAAAGGTGCAGGAAGACTTGGATATTAAAAGACGACAGTTTGCGGAGCGTATGACAGCTTGCAAAAGGAAGGAGGAGGAGCTTAAAAAGAAGCAAACCCAGGTTTGTATGGATAATTTTCAAAGAAAATTGTGTAGACTGGTTATTTCTCAATTTCTATTTGCTGGTTTTCCTTGTCACGCATGTCATTCAAAGTAGATCAAAATAAAAATCAAAACAGTTCAATAGATAAAGTCCAGAATCTGGGAATTGAAAGGAGGTAAATATGCAGAGACCCTTGCCAAGATTCAGGTCACAGAAATAATTTGATACATACGAGATATCCAAAGAGTTTTGTATGGAGATGCCATGCTGGTGCCCATCCGGATTGGCACCAACATTGCGGATGGAAACCAAAAGAAGCATTGAGTTTTACCAAGTTTTGCTTCAATTCAAAATTTAAAAATGTGAATTTATTCCTCGAGGAACTCATAAACATTAAAGTGATACTTTTTCTAATGCAGGGTTGCATCGGAGATCAGAGAATTCTCCATGTACCTACTACACAGAATTCTCCAGCTAATGGTTAATAGCCTTCGGACTATTTTTTACTCAGACGTGTAGCCTCTTAAAAAATAATATTCTCCTGCAACGCTGAACCTTTCTCTTGCTACTAGAATTCTTAACCCGTTCGCTCCTGGAAATTTTCCCAAAAAACACGTTTTGAATCTATGGTACTTGTCGAGCAGTTCACTGGTTACTGTCATGCTATAAAGAACCAAAACGTACCACAAATCCGTTTACAGCTTGTACACTTCACAGCCTTCTGATCCGGATGCAAAATATAGGCTTGTGAAGTTCAGGCATGCACAGAAACCAAAATTTCGAGATGGTTTTTGGGTTTAAAACTTTTAAAAAAATTGAACTTTTTTGGAGCGAAAATTTACATGAAAATTAGTTTTCAGCCACTCTAATACATCATTCAACGTAAAATCTCAGTAGGATCAACAGCTTTGTAGTTTGAATTTTAGTAGTCAACGTGATGTGAAAACCAACAATAGATTACAGGCCTATGCTTTTGCAGTCCTGGTGGCCCATGACAAAGATTGTCCTTAATTGGGATCAAAATCATAAAATAAAAATGATGACTCTTTTGGTTTAAGTAACTGTGATATTTTGAACAGACCACTTAAAGGCCATAAACTCCAGCACTTTTTACAGTGTCAGAGTACATGTAGCTCACTGCTACAGTCTCGAGAAAAATTGACAGTCATTGTCGAGCTATATGACTCCACATTTCAGGTACTAGGAAAGTCTTGTATGAATATGTATGTACACAACAATAAATATGACACATGCAACTGAGTTCTCTTAGCATGAGTCAAACCAGCTATGACTTTCTGCTTACCAGTACAGATGTTCTACACCACTGAGCTTCAGGAGATTCGTAGGAGCTCTTACTGTCATTGTAAAATACTAGTTTTCCCCAAAATATTATTTTTCCTAGAGTACGGCCCTGAATAACCCTATTGTACTCTTTATGCATGGTCTGGCTTTTGGATGGTGCGGCCAAACCTGTGTTAATGGCAAGCTGTCCCCTAGCCTAAGATTGCAGAATATATCCAATTTACTGGTCAAGCACAGGTTGACTATATTAATACAAGTTTGACCACAACCAAAGAGTAACAATGAAAGGAAGTTGCTGAAAAAGAATGGTATGCATCACAAGTCAAGTAAATATATTGTATCTTCCTTCCTTGTGTGCATTCAACCCACCACCATCTCCTCAAAAAAAAAAAGAGATAATAATGACATCACATTTACCACCTTTTCATCCCAACAGATTCGTGAAAGAGTGAACAAGTTTGAAAAGTTCATCGAAGAAAATGATGCAAAAAGAAGAAGAGCCATCCAAAAGTACCAAACAGAATTAAAACTTAAAAATCAGAAAAACGGAGAACTGGATATATTAACTATCGAGTTAGAACAGTTGAAAGCAAGGTGAGCCCTTGGTTTGGGGAAGAGGACGGGGCGTTAGCGGTTAAAACTTAGTGATAGAGGTACGGTGTATTAGAAATGCAGATTAGTGAAAGAAAATGCTAGACCTTCTCAAAAAATCTTACAATGCTAAAGCTTGCCTTGGCCTTAAAAATATGCATTAGTGTGAGTAAAATATCTCCCTAAAAGTCAATAAAATTCTATACTAATTAAGTCCAATCACTATACAACTGTAGGCTACAATATATGCATGATTCCTGCACAATAATTAAATGCATTTATATTTTTTAGTTTAATGTTTTATTTTTTTTTAAAACTCTTTGGTAGGTTAAATCAATAAGAACTCTTGAGTACTCAACATATTTTAATGTTATACTTTTCAAAAAAGGCCGCATAATTTCCAACCAGCCAAAAGTTGTCAAATAAATAGTTTCAAGTAAAGTACCCAAAAATATCCTTTATTGCAATTACTGTTAGGATTATGATTGCATTTTCAGACTTCTAATAAATTCTCTAGGTGAGGTGATAAGCTAATGTTTTTTAGTGGTACTCAGCTTATTTACAGAGTGTACTTATTTTACTTAATATCTGTACCAAAAGCCCTTCTCAGTACCTTTGCTAAACACTTCTAGTGATATTAATAATAAATTTATTTATTATTTGTATCATTCAGGAATGAGGGTCTACAAGCGAAACTGGCCAAGTATTCTGTGTATGAAAAATTCCTGATGAAAGTTCTTGACCAGTTACCAGAAGGTACAATATTTCTGATTATTATGCATTGTACTCACTATCTAACTTCTCACTGACTAAGAACCTACTGTTAATTTTGGAAATCAGCACAGTCCTCAGTTTAATGTAGATTGCAAGCGCAATGTATGATTTCCAAGAGCAATGTCAAATCAGTTCCGTGTGACAGCTGTTACTTTGTCAATATTATTAGATTCAAGGTTATTGATATCCAGAATAATCAAGGTCTCCGCAAGTGACCAGCCTCAGCCTTTGGCTCGGCTTATAATACTTAAACCTCAACTTTGATTATCCCAGAAATCACAAAAACCTCATCCTTAATAATTGTTTATAAGAAGTTGTTATAGCTCTACTCTGTTCAGAATTCATTATTAACCCTTGTAAGTCCTAACATACACTTAAAAATTCTCTGGGCTGATCTCCATTTGCTTGTAACATTAGTGGTAATTTAATAGTGGAGAGGATGGTTTAAAGATCCTTTATTGATCATTTCATTAATTATGTTACTAACCTTTCTGTTTTGATAATGTATTGAAATTGTTAGGAGAATATTTATTTTGGCCACTCTTGGGACTAGAAATGTTAACAAATTTAATTTTTCATTCTGCATTTCACTCACCTTGTTAGACTATCTAGAGGCTAATGACTCCATGCTGATGGGAATAATGATGAGGTTTAGAACATTGAGTGCTACCAATCAATCTCTTGTACAGATGCTTATAGACACTTCAGACCAGGTACACTTACAGCTCCTGTTTGAGAATGTGTTGTGGAATACCCTTCTAGCTTGTATTGAAATGAATTCAAATTTACGATGTTTTGAAACTTAAAAAAGTGAGTAAATTCAAAGACTATAATTTTGATCACCCTTATAGCTTGTCTTGAAACACTTTTTTTAAGTCCTTGATAAACCCTCCCAGATATAAAGCCCCACATTTACAAGCCCTTCTAAGACCCCAAGTACGAAAAAATATTTGCAAGCTGTCACGATTTGAGCCTGCATAAACAGGCAGTAAGAAGTGAATTTAACAACGAAATATCAGAGCGCACTCCCATAATAAAATGTTGTTTACTATTCTAGCCATGTCCAATACCAGCATTGTCAGCAAACATTCTTTTGAGCAGCCCCTGCAGTCTCACATTATTTTTTGTGCTTTAATAAAAATCTTTTCAGGTAGAGACAGAGCAACAGAAACTCCAGGATTTGAATCAAGAACACACTCAAGACCTGCTGGTCAGTTGTGCAGAATCAGTATCATTTATTAATAATATTTGCATAGATTAATGTTAACACTGGGCCTTGCCCCCCTCAGCATGTAGGCAATCTTTCAGAGTTTTTTGGTTCACGTGATTCTTATTTCCCAATCGCTGAGAAAGCTTTCATAACTGGGAAAATCATTTTATTCAGATTAATAATATTAAATTAATCTTTATTGAAACTCATTTCTTTATAAATTTTTTTATTTGCAGCTGATGAATAGTGAGTTGGCTGCACTTCAAGAAAAACTTGAAGAGACCATGCAAAGGAAAGAAAAAATTGACCAGTTCTTAATCAACAGTAGAGGAATTTTTAGGCAGCAGGTTAGGGCGGAAGAAGGAGAAGTTCCAGGCATTGAGATAGTGAGAAGAAGGCAAAAAAAGAGCGAGGGAAAAAAAAGAGCCTATTGCACATATTGTGCTGGGCATATCCCTTTCATTTTTTTTTGCTTGCTGTATTTTTTGCCCGCAATCCGTTATCTGAACACCTGGAACAGAGCACTCTACTTTTTCTTTTTAAACTTTCAACCCTAATATCAAAATTCAAATTCTCATTCTTTGTCGCTATATGTTTTCAATGGAAGTTGTGGAAAGAATTTGTTGAAGTGTCAATAGATTCATCTTGTGTGATCGTGTCCTAAATTCTCCTGACCACTCAGTTTTATGAAGCATTTATTGGTACTGTAGAACAAGGAGAAATTTCATGCTGACGACCGTTAAGGCTTAAATGGTTAGAACATTGTCTCCATAGGAGAGTTAAGAGGAGAGAGAATTTCTCTTGTTTCTAAACAGAGCAATATGCTTTTTTGGGGCAGGGCTGTTGTCATGTGGTCTCTACTGCAGCCATATTCAGGGGCACCCAACGAGAATATAGTTCAAAACCTCGTATTTTAGTATGTTAGTATGTAAACGATAGATATAGGCATATTTTTATCCCCTAAAAATTTTCCATCTGTTAGGATTTCCTAGCTGAAAGTTTAGTGTTCCGAAAATTATAGGGATCAAAACTTACCTTTTCGAAAGTTTTAGCCAGCAAAAAGGCTCCCGAAAATTCCAGGTGACCGTTTTAGGGCAAAAATCCGTTAAAAATGGGCATTTACACCATTTTTTAGACGTTCGAAAATCGTAGGAGAGGTAAGCAAGAAAAACATTTACAAAAACGTTGCGAACATTCAAGATCGTCTTCCGAACAGATATTTTCCGAAAATTGACGTTGGGTGCCCCTGCATATTTAGTGTCCGTCCTTCCCTGAAGAAGAAAGACTGCATGACAACACTAAAAACGGCTGCTGGGGAGACTAGTTGTAACTCTGCCATCACTGATCACCAGTGCTAAATCAGATGTTGTTGGTCATTTCTTGACAGAGTGAAATGCTCGGCTGCATCAGAATGGCCATAGACAACATAGCAGAGAAATGCCAACGGCTCCATACTACACCTGTAGAATCCATGGACGTGGATTCAAAGTTGAAAATTATTCAGGTGAGTACTGTAGTCACGCTTTTACTAAAGGTTAGTGTGTGGCTGTCCCATTCATCTTTTTGGGGTTTTAAGTGCGCAGGGACCAGCATCGTATTTTCGTAGAAGCTGGCACAGTACACAAGGCTCCAAGAGTCTCCAGAAAATTTTAAAGAAGAAGGAGAAAATTGTAGTGCATAGAGTACAACATTTATTCTGGGAGCCAAACCTTGGATGAAGATCCCGCGGCAGCCTGCTGAGAACTAAACTGATATCCTTGAAGCTGATCTGGCAGTTGAGTAAAGCGAACTCCAGAAGCTCATCATGGGAAACAGGAAGCAATGGAAAACAATATTTACTGTGAACGGTGCCTGAGTTCACTCGATTGAGGAGAGATAATTGGTAATAGCCCCAGCAGATACATTTGAAGAAACATGGGTTCTATGGGGGGTTGGGTCTTATTCTGTGAGTGTATTGTTAGCCTTCTTCCAGATCAAGTTTAGCCGTATTTTTCAAGTCTGTATCTTAGCGAAGATCATATGAAAGATGAAATTTTGTTGGGGACCAAGTTATTCAATATTGTAACCGCCACTGTGTTTGTTTTTTTCTCTTAATAGGAACATATTGTAGAACACACAGACATTGTTAAACTAGCTAGACTCCCAGAATCCGCAGCGGCTGGTGAAGGTCTTCAACCCAGTCCCTCAAGCATTCTAAAGAAAGATTCCAGAATATCCCGCCATGCAATGCTAGACTCACCATTTAAGTCCAGTCCTTCCAGAGGTGTCCGAAACTTGCAGATGGGTCTACGATTTGCAGCTGATGTGAAACAATCCTAGCACCCGTTTGGCGCGTGCGCAAATGAGCGGCGAGACTGCAAGGAAAAAGGGGGGGCTTTGCCGCTCGTTCGCGCACGCCCCTTGAGCACGTTTTCGCGGCTTCTTTCTCTCTCGCCTAACAAAACGCCAGCTGTGTATGCAAAATAGTGCTTGTTAAAGTTTTAGGTTAGCATCGACGTACAAAAATTTTCAAAGGCAGCGGATGTAGTCGCTCTCCTAGTTTCTACGCGTTCTATCCTTTTTATAGTCTTTCCATTATTTATAAGTACCAAGCTATACTAATTAGAAAGAACTTCGTAGTCCGTAATAATTTACTACTATGCAAGAGCGTTTTTCGGTATCTTGCAGCTTCTGATCGCTTTTGTAACCGTCATTTTGACACAGTTTGACAGTCTTTCTAAGCCCCAACCCCCCCCCCCCAAATGCAATTTTCTACTTTCACTTCACCTCATTTGAAATCAAATAATGTACATTTTAATAAGACTGAATATATATTTTGTATTTGAATGTAGGGCATGCATGCAATAGAGCGGTTTTCACTTGACTGTCGAAAGGGATTGGTTTTGGTTTTGGTTTTGGTTTTACTACGCCCTTTGGTTGGCTAGTGTATTTACTTTGGTTTTGGTTTTACGACAGTCAAGTGAAAACCGCTCTATATTACCTAGGAAAACGCTAATAAATTGTTTTTAGATTATGATTCATCTCATCTGTTTTCAATCTTATTTTTCAATAACAGATCCCTCTTGTAGCACGAGGAGAGATATCCTGCCTTTTTGAAAGAAAAATTTTATAGAGCCTATAGGGAGAAGTAAAAAGGAAGAAAATCGGGAGGGTTTTACTCGGTCTTACAAGTATACAGCTATTTCGATAAAGGTTCGGAAAAAAGTGCACGCGACAATGCCGAAAGGTATTGTGGGTGGTTTTGAGTTCACTGTTCTTCAAAGAAATTTGAGAGAATGGCACGAGAGACCATGGACATGTGTTTGCGAGTGGTCAAAGCAAAACAACAAACTAGGTTTGACAGCTACGGTGTCAGGAACAGCGAATTGGTCGTATCCCATATTAGCTTTCGGGATTGTCGCATGCACATTTTCAGGGGTACCCAACGTCAATTTTCGGAAAATGTCCGTTCAGAAAACGATTTGAGATCTAGAATTTTCGGAGCATTTATTGTAGAATTTCTTGCGTGCCTGCCTCTCCTAGGATTTTCGAACATCTAAAAATTGTGTAATTGCCCATTTTTTAACGGATTTTTACGCTAAACTGAGCTCAGCTAGAATTGTCTTGGCGCCTTTTTACTGGCTGAAATTTTCCAAAAGTTAAGTTTTGATCCCTATAATTTTCGGATCACTAGACTTTCAGCTAGGAAATCCGAAGAGGCGAAAAATTTTTAGGGGATAAAAATATGCCTATACCTACCGTTTAAATACTAAAATACGTTTAATAATGCTAGTATGTTTAAGTGGTTTTGAACTATTATTCTCGTTGGGTGCCCCTGACATTATTACCGACAACTTTTCTAGGAATAGCTGTAAATTTAGTGTTTTTGTTACAGGTCAACATTAAATTCAGGTTAACATTGTTAAACCAACGTTATTACGCGAGTGAGTGGCTTTTCAGTTAAGTGAATGAGCGATTAAGTGGAAATGGTTAAATGAATGAGTGAGTAACTTAATTGAATGGTATGAAGGGATGTTTATGGAACAGTGGTATTACAGTTCCGCCCAGCCATCCGGGTGGTGTGGCAAATTTAAAGACAGATAGTCAATGGAATAGCTGTCAGCCAATGAGAAAGCGGTTGACGTCATAATCTAGCCAATCAAGTTTTTTTCGACCTTTCTGTTTGGCGAAAAATTTTTAATGGAGGGAATCAATAAACGAGCGCATTGCTAGCAAATTAATGAGTGATTATAAGGACAAACCTCCCGTACGCGACCACCCCAAATGCGAAGTTTTAAAGGTCGCTTACGTGATTCGAACCGTAGGTTGTCACTTCTCAGAAAAATTCTGACACATCTTCTTTTTGAGGTTGGTACTATAGGGCTTCGACTGGGAAAAAGTTGGTGTTTTGCATGAGTGGTCACTTAATGGATTGGCCTGCTTGTAAAGTATGGGTCTTAGCTCTTCATTTGGTAGAGCACTGCAGCACCAACACAGAGGCCATGTGTTCGAATCTCGTTGAAGCCCTGCATTTTTTTTTAAAGTTTAACTTAATAAGGACCCCATCGCAGTTGTGACAAGCCATTTTTTTCTTTGACGTCATTTTATTACTACGACCAGCATCCTTCAGGGTTCTTATTTCTTAAGCAAATTGGGGGTTTTGTTATTTAAACCTCGCTTTGATCCATTTTGGTCGTCGTAGTAAAATAACCCCATCGTGCAAAGTTCTGCGATGGTCATATCTTGAACCAGAAACCAGAAATTTAGCAATCAAGTACAATTCTGATATGCTTGGAAATATTAGCTTCCGTATTGTCTACTAACCGGGTGTTGATACATCCAGTTTCCAAAAACCGAGATATTTCCCCCCCCCCCCACCCCCCAGCCGCCAAAAAAAAGCAAGATGGAAGACAAAGCCAGTGCTCGCAAATATCTTGATTTCTTGTCCGACCTTAACGTTGGCGGATCCAGAGCATCAGATAAGGGGGTGGGGAAGGGCCATCTTCCTAAGTTCGTGACGCCTTGCTCGACCATTTTTGGTGTCCCTGAGTTGTGATGTACTGAAAAACTGTTTTGTGAATCGTGATTGAAGTGAATTCCGTGAAACCGGAACTGCCGAAATCCTCGATATGTTTTAAAGATCAGTTTAAGAAAATAAATCGTTAATCTTAACTAGCATCTGGCGGCTTGATTAAACTTTACTTTCGAGTCTTAATTTTCAGTAACTTCACACTTCTGTGTGCTCATACCCACCGACAGCTGTTTTCCCTAGGGAATCATAGTCCTGCAGTGTTTTTCATAAGGTTCGTAAAAGCTCTAGTTAAATTGCTAAAATATAATCGAAGCACTCTGTTTTACAAAATGGGACTAACGTAACGTTTTTGACAGTCTTTACGACCTCTATGTTTGAGAAGCGAGAAAACGGCGTTTCGTGTTGTTCGTGAAATGTTGATGAGACTCCCCCTTGCACCCCCTCTAAGATTCATAGGAAGCTGTGATAATAAGATGATCTTAAAACAGCGCAAATTAAAAAATACGCAAAGATGAATAGGACAACTGATCAAACGGTTTACATTCCCTGCAACTTTATTTGAAACGCGTGTTAGTTATTCTCAATACTTGACAAAGAGAATGACAGTAATATTAAGATCAGTTCATGTGTAGAGTAGCTTTAATACTTGTTACGTACTCAAAATTATCCAGTACAAGCATTTTTTTAATTCCCTTCTTTTTACTATTAAACATTTCCTTTTTAGTTTTTAAATAAATACGGATTGTGATTAGTTGCAAGAATAGATGCCAGAATTTCAAAAACAAATGAGATAGTGGAATTTTGACGATTTAACTGAAAGGGGAAGAATGAAACCGGTGGCTAACTGACCTGTTTGAGGTTTTGTTTGAGCTAACTGACCACTTTGGAAAAAGTCCGGAGTTATTTGGAAAAATGAAGAAATAAAATAAAATGACATCAATTTTTTCAAAAAATACGTTGTGATGAAAGGAGGAAGATTGAAGATTCTGCTCTTCAAATTTTCGATATTTGATTTAAATTTAGCGGTTTTCATTTTTCTCTTGTTTATAGGTTATGTTCAGTTTGTTCGTGTGTGTTTTTTAAAGGTTGCCACATTTGCTTCAAGCCCATCCGTAATTCTGCAAAGGATGTCCATAAGTTCCTTTTTAAACTGGAGGAATTTGCCAATTTGCAGCCCAAGAAATTGAGAACTTGCCTGGCTTTGAAGCATGCGGCTGTCATCGACTATATTTCTGTTCCGCGGTTTTTGTCATGTTTTGGGCCATTTTCAAGAATTGTGACAATCTTTTATCACCTCGCTATTAATTACTTCATGGTACAACTTTTTTGTTTCAACTTTTTGCAGATTTCACCTTCTACAACTAGTGCTTATAAAGTACCCTATTTCCTCGAATAAGCGCCAACGCTCTATATATTAAAAGCGCCCTCTCCGGAATAAGCGCCCACAATCAAGCAACCCTCTTGACTAAGCGCACCCCTCTCAAATAGTAGGGAGTACAAGAGGAATGCGACGATGTGCACATCATTGACGAGGATGATCTCGAGGACGATGAGATCGATATTTTATAAATATGTAGCGATACAATAGTGTGTAACGATAGACATTTAAATATTGACTTTACGTTTTCGCGGAAAATGGTGAAGTCTTTGATTTTCTATTAGAGATTAAGCCAAAATACAATCACAGTTCGTTGAAAGGAAAACTTAATTAGCGCCCTCCTTTTAGCCATCGCCTGGGCGCTTATTCGAGGAAATACCTTTCGAGAAAGGTACCTTAAAATTAAATATTACTATTATTTAATCCCAGCTCCTATTGCAAACGACTGGTAGTTATCTTATCTTAAAGCACAAGGCTCCAAGTAATATAATTCAAACAAGCCTTTTATGAAATTGAATGAAGTTGCAGATAACTGTACACCAGTGACCAAAACTATGTAACGTTTAACTGCTGCAAAATACTGTATATAATATAGTATTAGCATACCAAATGCCCTGTTTGAAACCATACATATTTAGCCAAGATCTGATTCCCTTTTGATTTTGAACAAATCATTAATTTACAAAATTACCCAAATAATTTTTCTTCAGAAGTTTGAGCTGTATCATTAAATTAATTACCCCTTCAGAATATGTCTTTGGAGAAAGATTATCTCACTTTTAACCACTTAAACCTTTATGGCAAAACTGCCGTGCTTAAGTTATATGAATAATATAGCAGATGCAAAATGCTTAACTGAAACTTTCCATGACGTGCATCTACACTGTCACTTTCAACCTCACTCAGTCTAATTATCTGTTAGATTAATTATCCGCTAGATTAATATGTATGGTAAAACCATATTGCCTATATGCTGTGACTGACATATTATGTTTGTGGTCCGTGGGTATGTAGCTAGGACTCCATCTAGTGCTGGAATGGACATCCTGGTGCCCAGTGCCCTCTCATACCTGAAAAAATAATAAATTAATGAACTATATTTATTGACACAAACGTCTTTACCAACCAATGAATCTACATCATTCAGTAAAATAAATTAAAAACAACC